TGAAAATTACTTTTATGTGTTTACAGTGTTAAACACCAATTTGATATATTTTAGTTAAGTTTGCAAATGCATTCAACTGTTACCGAGTACAAAAGCTTTATTTTCACTCTGTATTTTACATAAAAACCAAAAAATTATTATTAAAAACTGTCAACGAATTAAAAATATAAACTACCATTTTAATTTAAGAATTAGAAGTTTTATTGAAGATTGATACTTAAAATATTTTTTCATGATACTTTCGATCCATTTTAGAAAATTTTGGTTATACATTTCTTCTGAACGCCGCGGCAACACTGTCCACCACCCGTCTGAGGGCACTAGTACCATAGCACCTAAAACTAATAGTGATACTGTGTCAAATAAGCAAATCAACAAGCAACAATTAACGATGTCAACTATTGGTACTCGGGCCTATGCTGTGTATCATCTGCACTTCAGATATTCCAACTAGCAAGGATATACTCCCATCCACCTTCGCTGATGATACCGCCCAACAGAGCATCAAGAGTACTAGAGGAACATTTACTATGCATAGAAGAATGGCTGTCAAACTGGCGCATAAAAGTCAACGAACAGAGGTGGAAACATACAACATTTTCACTCAGACCGCAAGTATGCCCCCAATCAAATTAAATAATGTCCATATTCCACAAGCCAATGAGGTGACATATCTAGGAATACACTTGGATAGGAGACTAACTTGGCGCAAATACATATCAACCAAGATTACACAAATCAAGCTAAAGGTAGCTAGCGTGCACTGGCTTATAAACAGTAAATCAAAACTGAAACTAGATTATAAAGTACTTGTATATAATACAGTCATTAAGCCTGTATGGATGTATGGTATTCAACTGTGGGGTACTAAGGGCCTTAACGGGGGCACCGTGGTATGTCCGCAATGAAAATATACATAGAGACTTTGGTATACCGATGGTTAAATCTGTAATCGACATCAGCACATTCGTATCTCTCATCGGGCTACATTGANATTTTAGTTAAGTTTGCAAATGCATTCAACTGTTACCGAGTACAAAAGCTTTATTTTCACTCTGTATTTTACATAAAAACCAAAAAATTATTATTAAAAACTGTCAACGAATTAAAAATATAAACTACCATTTTAATTTAAGAATTAGAAGTTTTATTGAAGATTGATACTTAAAATATTTTTTCATGATACTTTCGATCCATTTTAGAAAATTTTGGTTATACATTTCTTCTGAACGCCGCGGCAACACTGTCCACCACCCGTCTGAGGGCACTAGTACCATAGCACCTAAAACTAATAGTGATACTGTGTCAAATAAGCAAATCAACAAGCAACAATTAACGATGTCAACTATTGGTACTCGGGCCTATGCTGTGTATCATCTGCACTTCAGATATTCCAACTAGCAAGGATATACTCCCATCCACCTTCGCTGATGATACCGCCCAACAGAGCATCAAGAGTACTAGAGGAACATTTACTATGCATAGAAGAATGGCTGTCAAACTGGCGCATAAAAGTCAACGAACAGAGGTGGAAACATACAACATTTTCACTCAGACCGCAAGTATGCCCCCAATCAAATTAAATAATGTCCATATTCCACAAGCCAATGAGGTGACATATCTAGGAATACACTTGGATAGGAGACTAACTTGGCGCAAATACATATCAACCAAGATTACACAAATCAAGCTAAAGGTAGCTAGCGTGCACTGGCTTATAAACAGTAAATCAAAACTGAAACTAGATTATAAAGTACTTGTATATAATACAGTCATTAAGCCTGTATGGATGTATGGTATTCAACTGTGGGGTACTAAGGGCCTTAACGGGGGCACCGTGGTATGTCCGCAATGAAAATATACATAGAGACTTTGGTATACCGATGGTTAAATCTGTAATCGACATCAGCACATTCGTATCTCTCATCGGGCTACATTGAGAGGAAAGCGGTACAGTGGCGCAGGGCGTGTGCGCGACCACATAATCGGCACCTATTGGACTCCGTGCTACGGCGTGATCTGTAAGAAGACATTTTAAAGGAAAGACTTTAGTGGGGGTGCCATTTTAAATTTATGAGTCTTTGAGATTTTCTCGTGAAGTATAAGAGCTTTAGATGATAGTTATGCAGGGGGGAGGACACATAATTTGCCAATATTTCGAGTAATCACTCCAAGCTGGGTCTTTACATCTACAACCCGAACATTTTGGTCAGGACCGACGTGCAAGTTTGTTACCCGACCTAGTCGCCACTCGTTTGGTGGGAGCAAATCATCTTTAACGACCACCAAGTCGCCTTCCTTGACATTCGTTTGCGGATGTTTCCATTTATACCGCTTGTGGAGCTCTTTGAGGTACTCATTCTTCCACCGGGTGCTGAATTGATGATGGAGCACTTTGAGCTTCTGCCACTTCAGCGTNGCAAATCATCTTTAATGACCACCAAGTCGCCTTCCTTGACATTCGTTTGCGGATGTTTCCATTTATACCGCTTGTGGAGCTCTTTGAGGTACTCATTCTTCCACCGGGTGCTGGATTGATGATGGAGCACTTTGAGCTTCTGCCACTTCAGCGTCAAAGAGAGGTCTTCAGCATTGGACTCAGGTAGAGACAATAAGGGAGCTCCCCACAAAAAGTGTCCAGGGGTCAGAGCTTGTAAATCCTGCGGATCCTGAGAGATAGGAGAAAGGAGCCTAGAGTTGAGGACCGCTTCAATTCTAATCAGCAGAGTTGAGAATTCTTCAAAGCTGTATTTATGATTGCCGGCGACCTTAGTTAAATGGGATTTGAAGCTTTTGACCGCTGCCTCCCATAGTCCACCCATATGAGGGGCATAGGGTGGAATGAATTGCCAAGAAAATCCTTGAGCTACGTACTTGGTTGCAATGTCGGTGGACGCTTCTTTCACAAACGCTGCAAATTCTCTTTGAAGGACTCGTTGAGCACCGACGAAATTTTTTCCATTGTCCGACATGACTTTGTGGGGAGACCGCGGCGTCCAACAAATCTGGCGAATGCTACGCAAAACGCGTTTGAAGTCAAATCCGAGCAAGCTTCTAGGTGGATGGCCTTTGTAGAGAAGCACACGAAAACACATGCATATACTTTGATGTAGGACGCACGGCGAAGGGGGGACGTTTTGACCAGGAATGGGCCGGAAAATTCGAATCCGGTGGTGTGAAACGGAAGAGTGTAAGTCGCCCTTTCGGGGGGTAGCGCAGCCATTATTTGGGTTCTCATTTTCTGCTTATATAGGGTGCATATTTTGCTGTGGAAGATGCACTTTTTCACCTTGGGCTTGAGCCGTGGAATATAATACTCCTGTTGCACCATCCTTACCATCAATTGGTTTTCTGCATGTAACATTGTAGAGTGTAGAAAAGATAACAATAGAGAACAATAACGGGAGTCAGGAGGTACAATAATGGGATGGCGCTCGTTATAACTGTGGGTCGCATATTCAAGGCGTCCGTTTACCCGCATTACTCCGACATCGTCTATAACGGGGTTTAGTGTCAGCCAAGGACTCTTTTCGCTAATTGGCTGAGATGCCACCAGCGATAGTTTTCCCATAATATCGTTGTTGGGTCAAGAGGATGAACCGCAATTTGGCCTCATTTACTTCCTTCTGCGCTAGCATCAGCGTGTTGGGAATTGGGAGTTTGCGGGATGTTCGGATGAAGCGATACATATATGCGACTAACCTGAGTGCCCGAGGTAAAGAGGAGAACCTGTCAAGTATATCGGCGTCTTCGATGGTGTGGAAGACCTCTGTTCTGGCGGAGCGGCATTTGGGGGTGTGGGATTCGGCCAGCATGAGACATGCTTAACGAGCCACTCTGCACCCTTCCACCATAGTGAAGAACCGGCTAAATCCTGTGGTTTGCATCCTCTTGTGCCTAAGTCAGCTGGGTTGTCACCGGTGCGTACGTGGCGCCATGTGGCATTGCCGACGTTTTGGAGGATCTGCGATGTCCGATTCGCAACGTAAGTTTTCTATTGTGTGACTGTTTTTCCAGCCATGCTAAACCGATAGATTAGTCTGTCCACATAGTCAACTCGTGAGGCGGCAAGTCGAGCTGAGATCGAATGTGCTTTACCAATTTAGCGAGTAAAACTGCTCAGCAGAGTTCTAATCGAGGGAGACTCACGGTTTGAAGAGGTGCAACGCGGACGGAATTTTCGCTGATTTGTAATCTAAGATAAACGCAGGCACAAAAGGCCTTTTCGGAGGCGTCCGAAAATCCATGCAATTGAATGGGGTTATCTGGTGAAAATTGCACCCATCGGGGGATTTGTATGTCCTTTATCGCTGAGAGATTTTCGCGAAAGGCACTGCACTTGTGAAGTGCCACGGGGTTTACAGCCTCGCCCAGCCAGTTTCTTCCATCCAAAGTTGTTGGAAAAGTGTCTTGGCTATGATCATGATTGGCGATAGCCATCCTGCTGGGTCGAAAAGCTTCGCTACGGCTGACAAGATTTGCCTGTTAGTACTACAGTTCGCAGTTGGAAGAGGATCGTATGAGTATGAGAACGTTCTGTTAGCGCGTTCCACTGAATTCCGAGCGTCTTCGTCGAACTTGCGACTTGAAATTTTAGAAAGTCAGCATCTAAGAGGCTCGAACTGGGAATTGACTCGAGTAGGTTTGAGTGATTTGCTGTAATTTTCCTGATTGGAAATCCTGCAGACTTTAAAGCTTCGATAGTCAGAGACATCGAGTTAATTGTGGACTGTATTTCGTGCCCGCCTGAGAGGACATCATCTACATACGTTTCTCGGTTTACAATATTATTTACGAGAGCATAATCGCGCCTGCAATCTTCTGCTAATTGGTGAAGTGTTCGGATCGCCAAATATGGAGCACAGTTGACACCAAAGGTTACTGTCTTCAGTTTAAAATCTTCTATTGGAGAGTTGGGGGACTTGCGAAAGAGTATTCGCTGGAAGTCCTAATCTTCCTTGTGAATAAGAATTTGGCGGTACATTTTCTCAATGTCGCCGTTAAAAACAAACTTGTATGATTAGCATCAAGTCATTTTGCAAGACTGGGCCCGTGGGTAGCGCATCGTTTAAGGAATTCCCTGAGTGGGAGTTTTTAGAGGCATTAAAAACGACCCTAACCTTAGTGGTTTTGCTATCAGGTTTCAAGACAGCATGATGCGGCAAATAAAAGGAGAAATATTTCCCCTCATTTATAACTTCACGTGAAGAAGTGGGAGCCATGTGATCCATAGCCAAGTATTCATCCAATACCTCAGCGTATTTATGTTTTAGTTCCGGTCTTTTCTCCAGACTCCTTTCGATGCTGAGATATTGAAGCTGCGCTCCTAGTCGGGAGTGACCCAAGGCTATTTTGTCTGGAACCCCTTCTTTGAAGGGTAGTTTAACCATATAGCATCCCTCTGCTTGCCGAATTGTTGTCGAACGGTACAATTTCTCGCAGCGTTTATCATCTTCGGACAGCGTTTTCTCTGTGGAGACTTCTTCCTGTTCCCAGAATTTCCTTAAAAGACTGTTAAGGGAGTCGTTTTGCGATTCGGTGACACACGTGAAGAATGTTGATATTTTTTCAGCAATCGGCCCGCTGAGGATCCATCCGAATATCGTGTTTTGTGTCATAAGTGTACCACATACGTTGTGATGGAGTCCTTGTACCAGAATCTGTGGGGTGATATCGCTACCGATTACCATGTCGACTCTTCCGGATGAACAACAATTTGGATCTGCTGGTGATAATGTGGCAAGCTCGGTTAGATCGGGATTTGACACTTTGAAGGTTGGGAGGAAATGGGTAAGCTGCGGCAAAATGATTGCCTGAGCCTTTATTTTTTGAATCAGATCTGATGAACACAGTGTCAATTCGCAGACCTTTTTGGAATTTTGAACTACCAAGCCGCCTATTCCGGAAATTTCGTAGTGTATTTCTCGTGTTGGCAAGCCAAGGAGTTTTTGTAGTCGGGAGGCAACAAATGTCTTTTGTGATCCCTGATCTATAAGGGCTCGGATCTTATGGAATTCGCCAGCAAAGTATATGGGTACTATTGCTGTTGGCAGAAGGGTTGCTACTCGCGAAATGTGACGAGACTTTATTCACGTTATTTTCCGTAAAACTTTGTGTTCGTGAGCCTTGCTTAATGTCTTTAGATGACGAAGGCACTTCATTATCTACCCTCAGTGTCGTCATTTGAGTTGCGTTTTTTTGGGGTTTTGAGTTTGGTTTTTGACCTTGGGGTTTTGATTGAAAATGTAATAACGAGTGATGTCTTTTTTGGCAATACACGCCTGAGAAATTGCTTTGTCATTCATTCTTTAAGTGTGAGTAGGAGAGGCAGTTTTCGCAATAGTTATTTTCCTTTACGAACTTGAGACGTTCTGGCACCAAAAGAGTTTTGAATCTTACGCAATGTTTCATTCCGTGATTTCTATTGCACAGTTTACATGAAACAGGTTTAGCGAACTCTGTATGGAAAGTTTGAGTCTTATTTTTATTAACAAAATTTGAACTTTGATTAACTGCTCTTGGGATAAAATTTTGAAATTGGGGTTTTATCTTGCCTGGCCGATATGTACTCAGCCTTTCCACGACCTCGTATCGGCTCGTGAGAAATTTATCCATCTCTGACCACCGTGGCAATTCCTTGCGGGAGCTGAGGAATTGCTCCCACAGGGAAAGTGTCTCACTTGGCAATTTTGATGAGCACAAGTATACCAGCATGGGGTACCATTCTGTGGTGGAGATTTTTTGTGCAGTTAGGGTTGAGATGCAGTTATTTATTGTCGACTAGATTTTCTGAATTTGCTCTCCGTTTTCCGAGAAGATGGGTTGGATATTGAAGAGCGTTCTCAGCTGGTTATCCACTAGTATCCTACGGTTTTCATAGCGAGCCTTTAGGGCCTCCCAAGCTAGTTGGAAATTTTCGTTGCTGAGTGGGTATTGCTTTACTATCAGCCCCGCCTGGCCTTTTGTCTTTAACCGCAGGTGATATAACTTTTGCGCGGGCGTCAATTTCGGGTGTTCTTTGTACATGGCCGTAAACATGTCTCTGAAAGCCGGCCATTCTTCATACCCTCCATGGAACACTTCGGTGTCACATGGAGGTACTTTGAGAAACATATCATGTGAAGGATTCGAGCTATGATTCGGTGTTTGCCGGGCTGAGGGGGGGTTCTAAAAAGCTGTACAGCGTCTAACATTTGGGCCTTGCAATTGTGATAACTATCAGAGCATTTGTCATATTTTTGCTCTACTGAGCCACTGACCTCTGAATAGTCGTCGGATCGAAAAACTTCTTCATATGACTGTAATAAATAATCCCAGTTTCTATCAAGTTGTTGCAACTTGACATTGATCAGAGATTCTGTTTGGTCAGCTATTATCGAGTTCGACCATTTCGCACAGAATATCTCTAGCCTGTTGCTTTCAAAAATAAATATTTGTAAGCAATCCTGTGTTAAGGCTTTCGTTGGGGAAGGTTTCGAATCGTTTCCCATAGTGGAAGGTAACGTTTATCGCGACTGGTGAAAATTAGCAAACTTCGTTTGAAGCAAGTATTGTATGAGCTCGCTTTCGTTATGGGCTACTAAGATGCTATGTTTATACTTTATTTTTTGATAAAATAGGTATTATGAGGGTGTGTCTACAGATTGACGTTATTATTAAAAAAGTTCACTTGTTCAATACTACAGAGTACCACTGTGGTATCTTTCGTCGAGATTCAACTGTTAAACGGAGTGGCGATTTTACTTTGAGTGGAAGTGATATTGTGTTGGTGAGCACTAGGGTGATTCAAAATTGGAACTTTTTTGAATTTCGACTGGAAACGTTTGGATTCTTGAATATAATAGGGAAGACAAGTTCCTTCTAAAATTTCAGCTTATTTAAACAAGATTTAGAGATCGCTCAACGCTGTTGTTTGTTATCCGGAAACTGCAGATTTTAAATGCATCTTTATAAAAAAATAGGTATATTTTCATCAAATCTTGTCGGATTTCGTTAAAATTTCGTAGGTAGGTTCCCAAATATCAGTTTATTAGAATAGAGTTTATATTAGTTTGATAAATTAGTTTTAAATTAATATATTAATTAGTTAGTAACTAAGTTTTGCCTTATAAAAAATGAATGTTTGCAATAATTTTTTTTTTGTTCCTTAACCAGTGAGCACATGCTTAATACATCTAAGATCACATTATAATTCAGACCAATAAAGGACCTCATCATTGGATATTACTAATCATCAAATAAAAAAAATCACCAGATAAACATCACTCATACGCCATGTTGAATCCAAGTGTTTTCCTAGTCATTGCAAATATTAATAGCATAATAACAATATTTTGGCGCATACACCTTTGCCAAGTGTTTGGCTGAGCGTATCCTTCAATTTGTGGTGTGGGTCTTGCTGTTGTGACAAAAAAGCCACGGACCTACAGCTTTACGCCGCCTCCGAACAGAAATGGCTTTTGGGAGAAGCTTTTTTAAGGCAGAAATACACACGGAGGCAGTGTTGGGAGTTAATCAATTAATTTTTCTATCGTACCACTAATACCCAAAGAGCAATGATTTCAATGAATTTTTCAAGCCCTTGTGTTTATTTCAGATATAATAATGACATATTGCCTCCTCGACCGATTTGTTTGTGCTGTGGATACGGCTGTGGATGTAGCACGCCGTCGTGGTTGCTGCGATGAAGTTCACTATTCGCACTGGTGGGGTTACCAAGTGCCCGGCTTCCAAACGTGAGGTCTCAAATTTCGCAACTGTAATTCGCACTTTCTTTTGTGTTTGAGACACGAAAATGCTTAGGTTTGCGAATTTCGCGCCGAATATGTACCCGCGTGATTTATCATGCCCGATTCACCAAAGAACTTTAGTTCACTTAATTTTACGCAATTTTGTTCGGAACCCGATTTACCGGCACTAGTTTTCTCGAAATGTTCTCCTCGCGACACAATTCGATTTAGTAGTCTTATTTAGCACACACACCGTATTTTTTTGTTAGCAAAGAACGCTTTTTGCTTTTCTATAATAGTACATAAATAATTGTCAAATATTCCCTTTTCCACACTCGACTTTTCTCCGACTGTCCTCGTAGCGACCACAAATTTTGAGTAATAATAAGAGTTATTGCAAATGGCGCTGTCGCGGGTTGCCTTTCAGCACAAAAGGATCATGTTTAATTCGGAGTTTGAGTGCAGTGCAGGGCGCACAATAAGAAAACGTTTTGAGTTTGATATCTAAATTATTATATAATTGAAGATGAATTTATTGAATTCAATGCCATGTACAATTCAGATTGGATTTCGAGATTTTTTTTTTTTAAACCGAGTTCAGACTCTATTAAAAGGTAAACAATATATGCAATTTTAAACGAATAATGAGAAGATGAAATTGAATATGTTGATTCTCGGGCGGTTAAGAAGCGAGTGAGTTGGTTCGCTAACTTATCGTTGAGCCAGTACGGTTTTCGTGTTGCCACTTGAGTTTTGCCGTTCCGCGCCCGTCTTGCCACATAGATCAGTTACTCCGAAAATTGGATAAGATCCATGTCTTCGACACCTGCCTACGTTGCGCGCAACGCACCTTGTTAAATAGAATTGAGATTCCTTGTGGATGAGGTCGCGTATTTGGTGATCATCTTTTGTTCGCATCTTTGCGCCAACCAATAGTTCAAAAGGTGTAGTGTTTATGCTCCTCGAAAACGTCGAATTAATTATTTGCTGGGCCCTGTCCACGTATCTGAACTATTTCGTCGGGTCGTCAATGCTGAGTTTCGATAAGACTGAATTAGTAATTGCATTCAGCCGCTCGACTTGCCAATTCACGCATGGCAAACCTGTCGTTATCTGAAGTAGCTTTATATTTTCGCTCTCAAAATAAGTTCGGAAGCCGTTTGAGGAAAAAGCAGCGCCTCTGTCGCAGATAATATTTGCTGGATTTCCAAAAATCATACTCTGCCTTCGCAGCTTCGATTTGACTTCTTGTGTAGTTGTCGATTTGATGGGATACAGCCAGCAAAACTTGGTAAAAGAGTCAACCACTGCTAAAGTATGTTTGCAATTTTTATTCGTTGACTTTAACGGTCAAAAAAAGTCTATGTGAAATGTGTATAATGGTGTGTCTTCTTTGTGCAACGGATGTAGTAAACCTTCTTGTTTGCCTAGTTTAAGATTGCTCAGTATACACGGCACACAACAAGTAATGTATTTTTTAATCTTCTCATCGATGTTTGGTATAAAAAAATCTTGATTGATAAGTTCTTTTGTCTTTTTGATAGAAAAATGGCCTCAACCATGAGCACGGCTAATAACTTGGTTTTGAATACCTTCCGGAACTACTATTAATTTATTATTATTGCAGATTTTGTATAAAATATTGGATCTAAGAAAATAGTCATCATAGGAATTTGTATTATGGTTGAGGATTTCTCGAACGGCTTTTAATTTTTCGTCTTGTTCTTGTGCTTGCCTATTCTAATGGTTAGATCATCGTCGCGTATCATCATAACTGCGTACTGGTTAAGGGCGTCGACGTGCTTCATACGAACTCCGCTTCTATGCTCCACAATGTAATCAAGCTCTTGCAAAAGTAAGATCCATCTCGCTACTCGTGTACACAAACTTTTCTTCTCCAATGTTTTTGTAAACGCGTTACAGTCCGTAACTAATTTAAATCTGATACCTAGTAAGCACAC